CATTCAGTTTTACTTCTAAAACATTTACAAATACAAATTGCCCTCTGAATGGCAATTTTTTCTTTTAACATCTCAGTGTCTATGATTTTCAACTGAAACACTGTGCCTTGCTATAAATAGCTTATTATCACTTATAACACTTAGGCACACATAACAGCTTTTAGCTGTCTTTCAATGAGAGAGAGAGACTGCTTAGGCATTCAGGACTGGCACACTGCACTCTTATAACTTCTAACTTTAGACTTTATCTACTATCTTTTAACTCTAGCCCAGCTTAATGCATGTTTTCCATGCTTTACATTTTCAATACAAGCATAATTTTTTTATAGTTTCTCTTGCCCATGCAGGGAATTTAGACATTACAAATTTCAACTCAGATTGAGTCTCTGTCTGCTGGCAGCTTCAGCCCAGCACACAAGATTCAGATGCAAATTGTTTCAGCCAAACCACAAGCTTGTCTTCTAAAATCAACATATCAACTACTAGTTCTTTCTTGGTCAACACTAACAAGCTCTTGTTTAAACAAATGCCTTTTTATTTTTTTTTACATCTAGCAACTGTTAATCCCCTCACACTGCTTAGCCTATTTTATCTTAATATAAAAAAATTATAATAATGTTTCAAATTTCATCTAAATTTTAGTTGTCAGGTTTCTCAATTATCGTAGTTTAATATCTGACTTTCATGGTTTTCTTTTCTAAGAGCTTACCAATCTGCAATTAGAAATACCTTTAAAAGTATTTTGCAACTCATTTCTTATCTGTCTTTTCTCAACCCCATTGAAACTCGATCTAACAGGTTAGAAATGCAATTTAACAGTGGGCGTTTTATTGTTCTCACCTCTGTGAAGTTAGAACAATATAACATAGTGGTCCTTCTGACCCCCACTTGCAGTTCTGTCCCATTCAGGAAAGCAAACAGCAATACAATCTCAGTTGCAAATTCAATCACAATAGCAATTTTCTGTATTCTTTTCACAGCCATATGTTAAATGGCTCTGCTGAAGACAATCAAAACAACTAAAACTAAACATCATCTTCAGCTCACTATCATGACTGTTCAGTTACTCTTCATACAGCATAAAGAAATTTTGCATGTCATTTTTCATCAACACTGTTTTCAAAGCTATTCTTCTATAAAATGGCAAGTCTGCAGATTCAACTCAACATTATCATTATTTCTAAATTACACAGACGGCTATCATAGCTGCTTGCACCTTCAACTCATAGCTCCTTGTATCTTCAATTTTTTGTTATAAAAATATGCCAATCTATTCTTCAATACCCTTGTTTTCATAACATCAATACAATAAAGCGCATTCATATCATTTCAATCATATTTTATCATTATTTTTATTCTGAAACTTATTTTTCATATTTCAACTTAATTTGATTCAACAGGCGTTCATGAATAGTTCCATGAATTCTATTTTCTTTTCTTTTCTTTTACATTCCAGCTCCTTCTTTATCTGTTCTCTTTTTTTATCTGGTGTTTTCTTCCAACACTAATAGTGTTCCTGCCTATCTTGCTCCCCTACATGCATATCTCATCTTTCTACATTCTATTTCTACATTCTGATTCTTTCTTTTCCTTCCTCTTCTAAACCAATGCTTATCTATCAACAGACTAAAGCTATTACTGGTCATTATAATATAATATATATCACAATCTGGTTATTGCATAAACTATATTATATGAAACTGTATAGATCAAACCAACTTTTTACTGGTCTCTCTGGGTTCTCTACTGACTGACTTGTTATCATCTCATTGATCTTTCTAGAAAGCATTTGACCCTGCAGCCTCCAGCTGTGCATTCACTCAACTTCTATCAGGAAAAACCCCCACACTTTCTTTCTGCTATCCCTCTCTACATGCTAATTCGTGTTTCCTGGACACAGATAAATTAAGAACACTGTCTCTTGTCATTAAATAACACTGCAATTGTTTTTGTTTTGTTTTATTCAAACACACAATAAACCAAGTTTCTTCAATCTAAATCATGCTCATTTTACTTCCAATGCATTCTATCAAGCATCATAAAATCTGTTCTAACTGTTGTTATTTAATCTATAGCCAATTTCAAATCATCTTTGGGCCCAGTTAACAATCTTTTATCTGCCTTTCATAAGCCCAATGTGGCTCAAATTTAGCCTTTGTGCATTTTTCAATCATTCATCAGAAAATACTGCTCAGAGTTTCATTATTCACAACATTGCTCAAAAACACACACACAAAGAAAAACGGGTGTGTAAAACTGTAGGTGATCCTATAGCCTACTGGCTGAACGCTATCTATCTCTCCTGATGTGGCAAAATCTCTTGACCTGTTCGTAGGTCTCAATTTCTCACCTTTGCGAGAGCTCAATTCTCGGTCAAAACTTCTTGACTCAGCCTCAGTTTAGAAAATCTCTTAACCTGTTTAGGGTCTCAATTTCTTGGTTGAGGACCTCTTGCCTCAGTCTATGCCTTAAATCTCTTGATCTCGCACCACAGAAAACAGTTTCAGCCCGTATAGTTCGCTCACTCTTATCTCAAAACACACAGGGTTTTACAACAGATTCTTTCTTTCAGATAGCATAGTTTAAATCAGTATAGGATAGTGTCTGTGTGTGTGTGTCTGTCGTGCTTGCGTGTTAATAATAAATGATCACTTATCTGTTCTTGTGGTTAAAGCCACCCGCTCGCCCCGAACCAGACCCTCTCCGTCCTGCTCTCCGTTCCTCTCGTCTTTTGTTTAGGTTTGTTTGTTTTACGTAGCACAATTGCCATTTTGGGTTGTTTTCGGTCTGCTACTTCTGCCGCTGCTCGCGCTCCCAATCGCTCTGCTTCCTGTGCGTTTTCGGACCGGAGAGCAGTCGAGATCGTGGTCCAGTTTCCGGGTTTTCAGCTCCACACAATCTCGGTTACATTTTGGAAAACACAAACACACTTTTGCAACCATAATTCTTTTTCATTTGACCGAAAACTGGTGTGTAAAAAAATTGTCTTGCTTAGGCCTACTAAAAGAGGATCCCATGTTGGCTGAATCTTACTGTCTTGGATTTTTAATTTCGACGCGTCTAAATCTGTCAAACGTCTTCAACAGACCCGGTTCTGTCACCTCGATCCGGCAAGGTTAGCAAATATGCTCGGTAATTATGGTTTACTCAAGGAAAAACCAATAATCAGCCACGGCGGCTCCTTCATCCGCCTTACGAGCTAGTTTTCGGCATAAAATTGGCTTGTAGTGACGGGTTCGTTCGTGCTGGTCCACGTGTTACAATTACCGGGTATAGTAATTCACAAAAAACAAGTTAGCAACAAATCTTTCCGATTGTATGAAACTGATCCGACTTCCTCAGGTGTCAATTTCAGTTTTCGGCATAAAAAAAAATTGATCCGACTTCCTCAGGTGTCAATAAAGAATTTTGTTACGTGTCAGTTTTTTTATAATTTATTTATTTCTAAGAGCCGGAATGCCCGTCACTACCTCAATTCACCCCTCGAAAACCTTCTCTGCCCGTACCAAACAGATAGTTCAGCCACTATGGTTCGCCTAATAGTTATATCAAATTACACCATACGAAAAAACAAAAATAAAATAAATTTTAGGTCTCTTACCCCAGATGCTTACTGCCAACGGATTCTTTAGATCTTCAGTCGATTCCTTCTGGCCCTGAAAGCCGTTTTAGCTCTTCTCTCTCAATTTTCGAGGTAAGACCAGAGCCTGTTGCTTTGGGATGATCAGTCGTCAAAATCGTATTCAGGACCAGAAAGGAAACGCCGTGAGATCTCCACTTTCTGACACCAATTGATATGGCAAAATCAATAATTAAACAAAGAGCATCATAGTAAGAGACATCAGAGTCAAATTGTACTCTAAAAGATGTTTATTCTTTTAGAGGAGGTTGTTCACAAAAACTTTCCACGACAGCTGCCTCGTGGCATGAACAAGACCTGCCAGTTTTTGCAGGCAGCACATTATATAGTCTTTTGCATTGTAAAAGACCCCTCCTTCCCAGGCAGGTCAAATTGTCGTTTGTTCTTGAAAAGTCAAAAGGTCTTCATTTACAACCTAAATTACCTTCCGCTCCCCTGGGGGGCAGAAGGTGTGGGCTCTGTATTCACCCTATTAGATGTCTTCTCGTGGGTTTTCCAGCTGTATAAACATGATACAGAAAAACAAGATTCTCTGTTCTCGTAACTCAGGAATAAGGAGCCAAAAATCAAATAGAATATAAAACTTCCATAACAGTTGATAATTCCGCGAATGACTGCAATTGCAGATTTCGAACAGAGGTGGCGACAAAGAGGAAAAACGCCGGACTGCAGCTTTAAAAGGTGAATTTAATATATTATATAGACTCATTACATGCAAAGTGAGATAATTCAAGCCTTTATGTGTTATCATGTGTTATGTATGTATTATGGCTTACAGCTATGAAAACCTTTTCACAATATTCTAATTTTGAATTTGGGGGTTTCATAAGCTGTAAGCCATAATCATCAAAATTATAACAAATAAAGGCTTGAAATATTTCACTTTGCATGTAATGAGTCTATATAATATTTAGTTTCACCTTTTAAGTTGAATTACTGAAATAAATGAACTTTTGCACGATATTCAAATTTTTCGAGTTTCACCTGTATATACTGTATATAAAGGCTAAGGAGCGGAGAAGAGCGTCTTTGTTGTTGAGTCATAGCCAATACGGTCTTCTTTGTTGTTGAGTCATCATAGCCAATACGGTCTTCTTTGTTGTTGAGTCATAGCCAATACTGTCTTAAATAGCCTGTCCGTAGCACTTCATCTTTTATGGGGGGCACAAAAATTTATTTTTCCTATGTCATAATATAAGATAAATCCGGCCCTGATTATGTGTACACTTGTTTGTTTTTACAAACCGAGGGATGAGATGAATTGTAATTGACAGCATGTCGCAGTCAATTAACACCCGGAACGTGTGTATAATACATTGATGTGTATTAATATAAATGTTCTTGTACCTTCTCCGTCCAGCGTGCTGAGTAACGAACATGGCCCAGAGGCCTACGAGCTTCACATCTCTGTGAAGGACTACTGCTTCGCCCGAGAGGACCGAATCATCGGCTTGACAGTCCTGCAGCTCAGAGAACTGGCCGAAAAGGGCAGCCTGAACGCCTGCTATCCGCTCGCCAGGAGCGTAACGATGGACGATACCGGTCTGACCATCATGAGAATACTCTCGCAAAGGACCAACGACGAAGTGGCCAAAGAGTTCGTACGTCTCAAATCAGACACCCGGTCAGCCGAGGAAGTATCGTAAAGAACCGGTGGGAAGAAAAAAAAAGAGCGGGAGGGATATCGCAACGCAAGACGGTTGTGTTTGTTTTTGTGCATGTGTGTAAAACATCTGTTGGAATGTTCATTTTAAACTACAAGTACGTACAAAAGTGTTTACCTACCGTATGCTCTCTATCAAATATTATATTCTACAAAGTTATGTTCAAGAGACGTTGAATACAGTTTTGTATGACGATTAGTCTTTTTGAACAGATCCTGTATTTGTTCAGATAAAGTGCCAAACCTGATGAGTTTAAAAAAAAAAGGACAAAAAAAACAAACAAAAAACAAACACATATGAATTATTGGTGAAGTTGGTATCTTTCTAAATTTGCTCGATTCTTTTGTCCGGTGTATATCATCCTCTCTTTAAGTGTGTAACGGTTTTGTTCGTCTTTTCATTCTCACACCATTTTTTTGTAGTTCGTTTGTTTGTTTTTTGCATTTTTGGTAACACACCCTTTCTCACACAGCACTGGTGGTGCATGTCTCGTTTTCTTGGTGACGTCTCTCCCATGTGTTCGCAGTGACTGTGGGCATCGGCTCGGACCCTCTCCCCTCCAACGTTTTGTATTTTGAGCCGACTTTAAAAAGAGACCATTTTTTTTAAAATGGCGATGACTGCTACGAATCTCTTCATACGTGTTTGTAATTTTATAGTCGTTGACAACAATGAAAACCACCTTGAGTGCTGTCGGTCCAGGCAGGAGGGGTGGTATGTTATTTTTGTTTGTTTCGTAGGTTTAGTTCCTGTACGTTTCCTTTTTCTTTTTTACCATAGGCTTTCAGCCTTTCTGAATTATCACTGTGAACATGGGCTCTGAAAGGCAAGCTTACATCACATTTGTTGACTGTTTGATATCATCTTTTTATTTTTTGAAACAACTTTGATTTCCAAAAAAAAAAAAAAAAAACTGCCAAAGTTACATGAAAATATTCATACAAAAGCAATCCATGATCTGTATGAAAATCAGTATATACTATGTACACGTGCTACATACTGTACATGAATCATGTTTATAGTATTGCTGAATCATATCTGATTGTGTTTATGGGCCGGGTTCTGAGTTTTTCAGGATAATTTCTGTGAAGTTGTTTTATCTGGTATGAATGTGGTAAATGTTGCTTTACAAGAAGAGTCATATCGATCGCTGTCATCTCATTTATTTTTGTTTACAGAGGAAAAAGTTTAACATTTGGTATTTATGCAACATTCCTATGTATTGCACTGATGGCAAATTGTATGTCATGTAAATATATTTAGTGAGAAATTGTAATTAATGTCTCATTGTTTTACATTTTTTAGGAAAGCAGCTTTATCAACTCACTCAATTATTAGCATTATGGTTTATCATTGAACATTCAGAGGGAGTTATGGGGTGAGTTTCACAAAAACATGCCCTGGTCACCCCTGATATAAAGGTACACTATGTAACTTTTTTCTGTTCAGAATTAACACAATTTAAATAATGAGTCAATACATTATTAATCCTTCTTCCAAAACGTGTTTTGTTTTACCCTGATTTACTATGGTAAGCTAATCTCAGCCTCAGACGTCACGCCCGCAGACCGCTGGCTGAACGTCTGATGCATATGGCATACAAAATTGGAAACACTTCAGGAGTTTAGAAGTCGTCATCTGATTGGTTGAATTCTACAGAATTTCCGGGAGACGTGTGTGTCACGTTCTTTAGCATTCCTCTCCTGGAAACAAAGATGCCGTGATGCCAAACCCCCTCATGAAAGAAGAAAGCTGTCGTGTTCACAACTGTGACAATGAGCGCTTATCAGGATCAACTAAATGCTGGATTTTCAAAAGAATGTGAAGTAAGTAAAGTTCGTGGCATAGACTCTTTAAAATACCAAGAGTTCAAGAGTTTTACACAGTGGTCTGTTATTTTTCACGCCCCTAAACATGAAACGGAACAAAACAAACTGATTGTTTGCTTTACATGTCGGTCAGACGTTGTCTTGGGCAGTCGTTGGCCAATGAAAGCTGCTATGGAGTCCAGAACTTCTGACGTCAGTCTGAAGTTCTGGCTATACGTGGGACTAATATTAAGCCTATTATAAGTGTTTATATTTTAGATCTGTCGGGATGGTTTTCACTACAAATTGCATACATACATCACTCACACGTGCGTGTCTCGTCATATCTGTAAATAGAGAAATGTTCCTCTGGCTACTTGTATGAGTGGGAGTGTACTGTATTAACCCTGCCCTCCAAATTCTCATTACTCAAACTTATATTAGTAATTTTTTAAAGAATGCAAATGCTGTAATACACTTTGTATATAATTTCTTTAGGATTTGGGGGGGTGAATTATGACATGTTCTTGACTGATGCCATGGCATTTACCTTATAATTCAGTTGTTCACACTGAGTTGTTCTCACTATTTTTATGATATTTTTAAAAACTGCTCCTCAATATGAGACTCTCTTCTTCATCTGAATGGCCACAATCAGCTCTTAACAATATTTGTTGGTTACACAACAACGGATTTCCTCACAGTATGTGGTAACACACTGTTGATTTTTGAGACAGCAGGAGGGAAATTAGACCCGCCACATTTACATTCAAAACAATCCTCATCGCTCAGCATATGGTAAGCGACAATAAATATGAATATAAATAAATATAAATATGTCGATTCTGCATTAGCTACTTGCAGAGATTGCCACCATATTGGAAAGGTCAAACTCAAGCATGTAAACTGACAGATGTGGTGCGAGCTTCTGACAGCAAACATGTTCCAAACATTTGGTTCCTCATAAACATCAGACAATTCGGTTTAATGCAGATTTTGTAAAATTAAAGAGAAAGTGGTTAACACTTTAATGTGCTGTGGGTGATGCTCCTTGTGTCTCACCATGAAAAACTGACATCTTAAAAACCATAATCACCAAACCAGCAATCAGCCAATATTTCGCTTCCCGTGGGTTTATAGTAATCCTTTGACCCATGTCATCAATCTCTCAGCAGCGTCTCAAAGGGGAAAGAGGGCTATTTAAAGGGGTCATATTATGCCATTTTCATACAAGTTAATTTGATTCTTTAGGGTCTAAATGAAAAGTTTGTAATATACTTTAATTAAAAATTCTCATTAGTATTGTAAGAAAACACTAATTTTACCTGGTCAAAAACGGCTCTGTTTTCAGCACGCCGTTTCAGTGCATTTTCTCACTCCACCCCTCTGTTCTGCGGGCGTTTTGACATAACGCACGTGGAGTGTTGCCTTGACAACAGTTGAGGGTATATTTTGGAGAGAGAGAATGGCAGCGGGAGTCTCTGAGGACACATCTGTGCAACCGTATCAGTTTGAACCGGAGTCGGACCCGGAACAAGATGACGGCCCCGAAGAAGTTCGACAATTAAGGCTCGAACAGGACGTTTCTGAATGGTTGGTTAACATAATGTCTCTTTGATCTATCTTTGTATGCACTGGCAGGGCAGAGTAACTTAGTGAGATGTACGAACGCTATGTGTTTACTGATGTATACGTACTCAGTTTGTAATAACACAATAACCATAACGTGTTGTCAGTGTTGGGGAAGCTACTCTGAAACTGTAGTTTGACAAGCTACGAGCTACTCGTAAGTTAAAGTAGTTAAACTACAGTCAAGCTACCCTTTTGGAAAAGTAGTTAGCTACACTACAAGTTACTATCAAAAAGTAGCTAGCTACATTGAAACTACTTTTGCTTTTTTTGAACAACGTATATTATAAATAACTGAATAAGTGTCTGAGGAATGTTTTAAGTAAAATATTTAGTGTTTAAAACAATGCAATACAATTATGATTTCAAAGAGTATTGTTTTATTACACACAACACTCAAATACCTCAGACTGTCTGTCAAAACACGATGGCGCAAACGTAAGTGGTCTTTTATGTTCATTACCAAACTGGCGGACAGATCATGGCGGGTCATTGTAATTAAATCAGAAATAGAAACTTGATGTAACATAGAGAGCAATAAAGCAGGATAATTAATACATTTAAAATGACCATTACTCACATGTGCGTCCTTAAATTTGTGCTTAAAGGAGAACTCCGGTCAATTTTAACATTGAGCTCATTTTTTTGTACATTTGGAGTGCTGTCAGTACAGACAAAAACGACAAAAATCGGTGTTGCCTACACCGTGTTATCCTCTTTTTAAAATTCGCACCCTGTTGACTTCAATGGGGCAAGTTCTAAACCTGCTTTTAGCCTCTTAACAAACTTAATATGTCATTACAAGTGCACAGCCATGTGAGTGGTGTTATTAAGAGTGACCACGGTCAATTTACTTCCTGTTTTCGTTCGAAGTCCACAGTAGTCGATTGTCGAGTTCGCGCGCGCGATCAGTAGTTATATTAGTTACCAATGATCGCGCGCGCGAACTCGACAATTGACTACTGTGGACTTCGAACGAAAACAGGAAGTAAATACAGGTATGTGAGCTGGCTGAATTAACATCATTTTTATTAATATCTTGCACATCTACTGCAGTCAGATTGACCGTGGTCACTCTTAATAACACCACTCACATGGCTGTGCACTTGTAATGACATATTAAGGTTGTTAAGAGGCTAAAAGCAGGTTTAGAACTTGCCCCATTGAAGTCAACAGGGTGCAAATTTTAAAAAGAGGATAACACGGTGTAGGCAACACCGATTTTTGTCGTTTTTGTCTGTACTGACAGCACTCCAAATGTACAAAAAAATGAGCTCAATGTTAAAATTGACCGGAGTTCTCCTTTAAGGTCTTCAACGAATACAGCGTTTTAAACTTTGGTTTGCAAAGATTGCATACAAAAATGTAAACTTTACTTGTCGTTTCTTTGAGAGACATGAACTTGGACAAATAAGGCCATGGTAATTAACGTTAGTTGTTTCTCCATCCTCCAAATCTGCCACCACGTCTTGCTCCATCATGGGGTGTGTCAACCCACTTCTGTAGGTCAGTGAACCGTTAGCCGCAAGATGCGTGATTAAACAACAGG